GTCGTCATCGCCAGCGTCATCATCACGATCGTCAGCATCGCCCCCACGATCATCAACATCATCGTTCCCAACCAGTTTGGCTCAGGCGTTTGCCCAGCCACTCGCTCGCACTTGCGTGCCCTGCTCTATTCGCCCGTTTCCGTCTGTCCGATGGTCACAGTTGCGCGGACCGAATGGACGATTCTGCAGGTTATCAGCGGGCGTCGGGCGACGACCACGTTGCACAGTCACGTGGACAGGATCGTTGCTGGGGTGTTTGTTTCTTTTGCGGGTGGTCGAGTTCGTATCGGGTCGGTCATCGCTCTAATGCAGCACATGCGTTGCGACATTGGCAATGCTGTCGTCGGTGGTCATGGGCGCCAGAACTTGCGCGATGAGTCGCGCGTCAGTTTTATAATGCGGTTTGTTTCAGGTTTGCTTTGTCGTGGCAGTACTGGAACTGATCATCGGGGGTGCTGGCGCCGGCCGTCGTCGAGGAAATACGGACCTTCACATGACGACTGTCGAGCCGATCTTCTTGGATATGCCGAACACGCGGACCATGTTTTTCTGCCCTCGCGGCTCCCTTTCCTCTTCTCCCCGGCGTTGGAGGCGTTTTGGGGAAGGGAAGGGGGGGGGAGGGGTAGGGTTCGAACTAGTGGTGATCCCCCCTCTGGTTTTCGAGGAGGGGGGGGGGTTCGAACCGGTAGTGACCCCCCCCGGTTTTCCGGACAGGGTGGGGGGAGGGGGGGGGGTTAGGGGGAAGGGGGGGTTTTGCCGGGAGGAAGGTGGGGGGGGTCGGCAGACGGGGGGGATTTTTGGAGGGGGAGTGGGGAGACCCCCAGGCTCCGGAGGAAGAGGGGGGGGGGAATTTTCCACAGTAAAGCGGCGGTGGATCACGCTCTCTCATATGCATGGATGGGTGTATATATGCATGTAAAGTACGTATAGATGTGTGTATGGATGTGCGTTTGTATGTATGTATTGGTGTGCATGTATGTATGCATGTATGTAGGATTGCATGCATGCATGTATGTATGTGAATGCATGAATGCATTTATATAATTATATATACACATCAAGTGGCCTTCGGCCCATCCCGCCACTGTGCCAGCTTTGGGGGTCAGAGTTATCAGGGATGTTTCTTCGGGTCTCTTCGGAGCGCTCTCGGGGACCTCTTGGGAACAGTTTATGGGCCTCTTGGGAGCATCTTGGGGGTCTCTTGGGAGTCTTTTGGGGCTTCTTGGGAGCCTCTTGCGGTTTTCTGGGGCCCTCGGGGCCGAGGGCAGATTTCAATGCTTTTGTTGCCTATTGGGGCCCTCTCGGGAAGCCTCTTGGAACACTCTTGGGACGTCTTCGGAGCCTCTTGGGCCGCGTTGTGGCCATCTTGGGTGCATTGGGGCACTTATGGGCCTTCTCACAGGCATCTTCGGTCCTCTTGGTCGCGTTTTGGGCCCATGTTTGGCCTGCTGGGCTGCCGAAGGACGCCGCGTGACACGCCCGGGGAATCTCCAGAAATCCACGTGAATCCACAAAAATCCTTGTGAAGCCAATGGCCCGGGCCTTTAAAACCTGCAACTTTACAATGCTGAACTACCCAGGGCAGCATGAGCCTCGGGGCACTCCACCGCGCGGTGGCGGACATATATCTCTATATATATATGTGTGATTGTATATATATGTATGCACACACAAACATGCATGCATGCATGCATGCATGCATGCATGCATGCATACATACATACATACATACATACATACATACATACGTCAGAGTGAGGGGGGCCGAACGGTCATTCACTGTCCCTGGGTGCGTGGCTGATGTGGAATTCCGCGGTGCGGATTATCGTTGTTGTTGTTGTTTGTTTGTTTGTTTGTTTGTTTGTTTGTTTGTTTGTTGTTGTTGTTGTTGTTGTTGGTTGTTGTTGTTTGTTGTCGTCGTCCCACCCGCAACCCGCCCCGCGACCCACCCCGCGACCCACCCCGCGACCCACCCTGCGACCCAACCCGCGACCCACCCCGCGACCCCCCCGCGGCCCACCCCGCGACCCACCCGCGACCCACCCGCGACCCACCCGCGACCCACCCGCGACCCACCCGCGACCTACCCCGCGACCCACCCGCGACCCACCTTCGACCCAAACCACGTTCAAGGTACAAACCACAATTTTCGGCGCCTGCGGCGGGCTTTTTTGCATTCCTTCCAGGTGGAGAGCCCGCGACACATCCCGTGACCAACTCGCGACCAACCCGCGACCCAAACCACGTTCAGGGTACAAACCACATTGTTCGGCGCCTGCGGCGGGCATATTTTGCATTCGTTTCAGGTGGAGAGCCCGCGGCCCACCCGCGACCACGTTCAGGGTACAAACCACATTTTCGGTGCCTGCGGCGGGCATCTTTTGCATTCGTTCCCTGTGGAGAACCCGCGGCCCACCCGCGACCCAAACCTCGTTCCGTGTACAAACCAATTTTTTTGGCGCTTGCGGCGGGCTGCTTTTGCATTCCTTCCAGGTGGAGGTGGAGAGCCCGCGACCCACCCGCGACCTAAACCACGTTCACTGAACAAACCAATGCCGCACAAGCGCGGCGGCGGATTCTTGCATGCCGTCTGAGCCCGCAAGGACCTCTTCACGCCCCGCGCATCCACGCCAGCCCGTCCAGCAACTTTGCCCTGGCGAGTTGCCTTGATCAGAGAAGGCGGGGAGCATAAAGTGGAAAAAAGGATTGCGTTGCAGTTATCTTGGGAAAGGAGGGGGAGGCAGGATGAGTAAACAGGGGACGAGGAGAACGTGGAAGAAGAGAGGATGTAAGGAGAACGTGGAGAAAGAAAAGGAGGAGGAGCAGGAGGACGAGGGGGAGGAGGGGGAGGAGGGGGAGGAGGAGGACGAGGAGGGGGAGGATGGGGAGGATGATGATGATGGACGACAATGGGAGGACGATGATGGAGGCCGATGAGGGGGAGGACGACAATGGGAGGACCATGATGAAAAGACGAGGGGGGGAGAGGGAGGACGAGGAAGAAGAGGAGGAGGAGGAGGAGGACGAGGTGGAGGAGGAGGATGACGATGAGGACGAGGAAGAGGAGGAGGAGAAGGAGGAGGAAGAGGAGGAGAAGGAGGAGGAGGAGGTGGAGGAGAGCGCCATCGACAAGGAAGGTGGGGGCCACGAGGTCCGCCGGCTCGACGACGCCCGCGTCGCCCGCGCCCGCCCCCTCACTCTTATCCGCAATTGCGGGGTGTTGCGTACATACATACATACATACATACCTACATACCTACCTACCTACATACATACATACCTACCTACATGCATACATACATACATACATACATACACATACACACATACACATACACATACACACACGTACGCTTACACATACACATACACATACACATACACATACACATACACACACATAGACATACACATACATATACACATATATATACATATACAAATACATATACATATACCTATACATATACATATACATATACACATACATATACATATACATATACATATACATATACATATACATATACATATACATATACATATACATATACATATACATATACATATCCATATACATATACATATACACATACACATACACATACATGTACACATACATCTACATCTACATGTACAAATACATAGACATATCAACATACAAATACATATACAAAAACACATACATATACACATGCATGTAGATATGCAACTACATATACATATTTACACGCGTGCACTGTTATATGCGTATCAGAGTATGGGGGGCGAACCACCTTACATCATCCCTTGGTGCGTGGGCAGAGTGGGATTCCGTGGCCCGGTTGTTCCTTGCTTATCGTTGTTTGTTGTCGGTGAGTTCGCATCTCTGAAGAATGATGATGATTGTTCCCTTCTCTGGTTCACTTTGTGCTTTTGAATTAGAGTGCGCCTCCTGGGGCTCCCCACCCTGTTTTGGCAAGGGGAAGTTTGGGGGCTGCGACTGCGCCCTTGGCCCCCGATCTACAACAAGAGCTCCCGCCAGATACTTCCTCACAGTTAATTCCAAGTCGCGTTCTTGCGTTGGACGTCCTCGTAAGATATGCAGGGATCGTTCTCTTGCGTTGAACTTCCTGGCAATGTATTCAGACGCCGCGCCCTCGACACTCAGGAATTCCGCTCCCGCTCTGGACTTCCTAACAATTTACTTGGGAATGGCGCTATCGCTCGAGACGTCCCCGCAGGACTGACGCTTCGGCGACCCGCTCGCTCGACCCAGTCTTCTGGGCCCGCCCGCCCGACCCGCCCCTTAGGGTGTCGGGGTCCGCCCGGCCGAGCCGCGCCGCCCGTCTGGTCCTGCCGCTTGTCATCCTGGTCCCACCGCCCCCTCCGGCTAATCTCTGTCCTCTCTCTGTTTTAGGAACTGCGCCAACTACACGCTGCAGGCAAGGGCGGGTATCGAGGGTTTGGGATGCGCATGTTAAGTGACTTTCGAGCAGAATAACAAAAGTCTCAAATTGATTGATGCTGTTGTTGTTGTAGCGTTTTTGTTATTGCTGTTTGTTGTCGTCGTCATCGCCCGTGAGCCCCCCCGCGACCCAACCGCGACCCACCCCTCGACCCACCCCGCGACCCAATCAGCGACCCACCCGCGAACCACCACGAGACCCACACCTCGACCCGCCCGAGACCCACCCCGCCCATCACTGGCGACACACCCGTAACCCACCCACGTTGCTTTGACTCAAAATCTGCGGCGGGCTCGCCGTGCCATGTGTTTTTCAAGATCGGCTCGTGCGGCGGGCTTCTTCAGGGACTCGCAGTCTGCCGACGACCCCTTCTCCCCATCACTCCTACCTGCAATCGGGAGGTGCCACGTGTGTATCGTGCCCCTTCCTCCGTCGCCCAGGGTGTACACCATCCCGCCGTCGCCACGGCAACTCGCCTTCTCTGCGCCCCCCCCTCATCAGGGTGGGGCACATGTTTGGTGCCCTCGGAGCGGTTCCGCTGGCGCGCGCCAGGTGTACGTCCTCGGCTTCAACGGGCGCGCGCGCGCCGCAGCCGGACGACGCCGCCGCCGACGACGACCCGCTGACGACGACGACGACGACGACGCGGCGACAACGACGACGACGAAGGACTACGAGCCAGCGAGCGACAGCGGCGGCGACCACGAGCACGACAGGAGGAGGTGGGGAGCTGTAGGCGAAAGAGCAGGTGCAGGAGGGGGAGACGGCAGGAGGAGGTGGAGGGAGGATACGTACCGCAGAGGATCAGGAGGAAGTGACCAAAAGCAATGCTGCTTTACGACGCGAGGAAGTCTGGGGACGACGACGACACCGCCGTCGACGACGACGGCCGACGGCGACGACGGCGGCGACGACGACGACGATCGCGACGTCGATGACGACGACGACGAATGACGACGATGCAGAGCGAGCAAACGACGTCGACGGCGACGGCGAGCAGAGAAGGGAGGATGCAATAAAAAGGGGAGAAGAGCTGGAGAAGGAGAAAGAGTAGGGGGAGGTTGAGGAGGATGCGGAGGCGGGACGATACCGCGGAGGATCAGGAGGATGTGGAGGAGCAGGGAGGGAAGTGCGGGGCGGAGGCGGAGGGAAGTAGGAGGAGGGGGGAGGGTGGAGGCGGCGAGGATGGAGCAGGGGACTGTGATTATGACGGCGATGGTGATGGCGACGGTGATGATGACAACGACAACGACAACGATGACGACGATGCTGATGCTGATGATGATGATGATGATGATGATGATGATAATGATGGTGATGGTGATGGTGATGGTGATGATGATGATGATGATGATGATGACGATGGTGATGGTGATTGTGATGGTTATGATGATAGTGATGGTGATGCTGATGATGATGCTGATGATAATAACGATGATGGCGATGATACTGATGACGAAGACGATAACGCGCACGTTGATGATCATGATGATGATGCTGATGCTGATGCAGATGATGACGACGACGACGGTGATGGTGATGGTGATGATGATGGTGAGTATGAGGATGAGGTGGTGACTGTGATGGTGATAAGGATGATGATGGAGATGATGTTGCGTATGATGATGTTGATGATGTTGATGCCAATGATGATGATGATGATGATGATGATGATGATGATGATGATGATGATGATGATGACGATGATGATGATGGTGATGACTGTGGTTATGGTGGTGGTGGTGGTGGTGGTGGTGATGGTGATGGTGGTGATGTTGGTGGTGGTGATGGTGATGGTGATAGTGTTGATGATGATGAGGATGAGTATGAGGATGAGGAGGAGGATGAGGAGGAGGATGAGGATGAGGATGAGGATGATGATGATGGTGGTGGTGATGATGATCATGATGATGCGATGATGATGGTGATGATACTGATGATGGTGATGATGGTGATGATGGTGGTGATTATTTAGTTAAGCTGATTTCAAGAATGCCGATGGTGATGGTTGCTGATGATGTCATGACGATGGTGGTGGCGACGATGGCGACGATGGTGATGACGATGTTACCGTGAAGGTGTTTACGACGACGATTGTGATGTTGATGATGCTCGTGTTGACGGTGGTTGATGGTGTTGGTTTGGTGGTGATGTTGTTTGGTTGGTGATGGAAATGACTGTCCACCGTATTTAAAATGGCTTGGAGCAGCCGCTCTCGATAGCCGTTGGAATCCAGCCATGTCCCTCAGCACTTCGCGAACGCAATGACGGGCCCTGCGAGAGCACCAGCGAAGACCAGCGCAGCGCGGCCGGAGGCTAGACGCAGTTCGGCCGAGACCAGGCGCCGCAGCACGCACCGCAACGTGCCGCGGGAGGAGGAGGAGGAGGAGGAGGAGGAGGAGGAGGAGGAGGAGGAGGAGGAGGAGGAGGGCCGCTGCACACTTGCCTCGCGAGTGCCGCTGCACGGCTGCCTCGGCAGAGCCCGGGCGAGAGCGGCCGCCCGACGCGCGCCAAGCTGCACCGCGCGCCCGGCCTCCGCGACCGCGCGATGCGCGGGCGCCCGCGCGGCCCAGGGACGGCCGGCCCGCCCAGCGCGATCGGCGCCGAGCGGCCCGGCCGAGCCTTCCGGACCGCGCGGCCTTTTCGACGCCCGAGATGGGTACGGAAAGAATGGGTAGAATGCCCAACAACAAATATGTTGTCCCAAACCAAGAGCGGCCGCTGTTGGGCAGGCGGCCTTCTGCTTGAAATGGACACAGGCCGCGGCGGCGCGGACAGCGAGTCCTGTACAAAATGAGCAAGAACTGATGTTGGGCATCGTACCAATTCTGTCCGTACCCATCTCGGGCGTCCAGAGGCCCGTCGGCTGCAGGCCCGCCGGGCGCGGGCGCCCGCGGCCTGCGCCAGGCGTGCCAGGCGCGGCCCGAGCGGCCGCCCAGGCCCGCCGAGCAGCGCGGGCGGTCTCGGCCCCGCGCGGCCCCGGCAGAGTGCAGGCCCGCCGAGGCAGAGAGAGCTCGCCGAGCAGCGGGGCCTCGGGGGGGGGGGGGCTCGCCGTCGTCGTCGTCGTCGTGGAGCCCGCCCCCCCCCCCCCCGGATGCCAGCTGGGGGGGGGGGGGCCTGCGGAAGCCTTGGGAGGAAGGGGGGCCGTGGGCCCTGAAGCCTGGGGGTCGTGCAGACGCCACGGTGGCGGATGTGGCGACGGTGGTGGTGGAGGTAGGCATGATGGCGATGACGATGGCGATGAAGATGGTCACCACCTGCCAAACCACCCCAACCCAACCCGATGGCCTCAATTTGCCCTCCATTTCCAGTGGGGGGGGGGGTCGGGGAACGTTGGAAGAACACGGAACCCGTACCCTCCCCAACCCGAAATTCGGGTCAAATTCGGGTCTTCGGGTTGGGTTGGGGTGGTCTGGTAGGTAGTCAGATGGTTCGGGGGTGGACAGAACCCCCACCCTGACACGTCGATCAGTGAATTCTCCGTTTTCTGTTCTCGAGACGGCGCCGCGGTCGTCATTGCCCAGGCTTTCGCCCGCCAGGTGTGGGCCCGAGGTCGTTTTCACTAAACCACGTTTTACTAAAGGGCGTTCTGTCCATCCCCGAATGATGGCGATCCATGGTGATGCTGCCAACGACGATTGCGACGGGACCCAGCGCGGGTCCGCCAGGCGGCCCTTCACCCCGCAGCCGAACGGCTTCTCCGGTATCCTTGCGAAGATGGATGACAGGACACAGGCCGGCGCGAGCTGTGACCGCCTTTCTTCGGCTGTGGACGCCCGAAACGGGTTTGGAGAGGGATTGCTGTCTGTCTTCGTGCCCATTATTGGGAAGGCCTTACGGCCGGTGCCGCCGACCTTGTAAGGGGACGACGACGGCGGCGGCGGCGGCGTCGATGACGACGCTGACGCTCTGGACTCCTTGATGTTCGCTTGGGAGCCTATTGGGATCTGTGGCTCCGTTGGGGGCCTCTCGGGGGATTTCTTGGCAAGCTGTGTCCACTTTGAGCCACCTCGCAGCGGATCTGAGGGCTCTTGGAGGCGAATGAGAAAGTACGCGGCACTCCGCAATGGCAGATGGGAGCGAGGAGGGTGCCTCCAGCGAGAGAGGGGGGGTCGGGGAGGAGGGACTGGGCGGTGGTGGTCCTCTTGTCCACAGGGAGGAGGCGGGGGGAGGGGTCCTGAGTTCCCCCTGTCTCAGGCGATCGCAAACATATTGACCAAGGGGGCGTGGATTGGCGACGGGTCCCGTTTCAATGGGAAATCGTGGGCTTCCGCCGCCGGACGAGGCGGCACCGACCGCACTTTGGTTGGGGAGCACCTCCCCCAGTCCATGGATTGGGCGACCGCGGGCCAAATCCATGGATCGCCAATCCATACTTGCGCGCCCCCGGCTGTCCACAAGGGTCAGGAGCGAAAGAAACACACAGACACAATTAATCGTCGACTCCAAGGAAAATATGCAAAAATATGGGAAGTGCGGGGGAGGACAAAAAACCAAAAAAAAAAAAACCCTGTGACGTACCCAACCCATTTGTATCAATGGAAACGAGGAGTTGGCCGAAACTTGTATGGACAATCAACTTGATGTGTAAGCTACTTGGGAGGCGTCACTGTGCTGGGCCCCGCAAGCAGGCCTCGAAAGTGGCGACAGTTTCGCAGATCGCAGCCCCCCAGGGATGGCGAGGTCTAATTTGAATCTGCGTGTGGCGTCACTGTGCTGGGCCCCCCAGCAGGCCTCGAAAGTGGTGACATTTTCACAGATCGCAGCCCCCCAGGGATGGCGAGGTCTAATTTGAATCTGCGTGTGGCTACCCACTGTGCTGGGCCCCGTAAGCAGGCCTCGAAAGTGGCGACAGTTCCACAGATCGCAGCCCCCCAGGGATGGCGAGGTCTAATTTGAACCTGCGGTGGATACCCACTGTGCTGGGCCCCCCAGCAGGCCTCGAAAGTGGCGACAGTTTCACAGATCGCAGCCCCCCAGGGATGGCGAGGTCTGATTTGAATCTGCGGTGGGTACCCACTGTGCTGGGCCCCTCCAGCAGGCCTCGAAAGTGGCGACAGTTTCACTGATCGCAGCCCCCCAGGGATGGCGAGGTCTCATTTGAGTCCGCCGTGGGTGCCCAGTGTGATGGGCCGCCCAGCACGCCTCGAAAGTGGCGACAGTTTCACAGATCGCAGCCCTTCAGGGATGGCGAGGTCTAATTTGAATCTTCGGTGGGTACCCACTGTGCTGGGCCCCCCAGCAGGCCGCGAAAGTGGCGACAGTTTCACAGATCGCAGCCCCCCAGGGACGGCGAGGTCCCATTTGAATCTGCAGTGGGTACCCACTGTGCTGGGCCCCTTAGCAGGCCGCGAAAGTGGCGACAGTTTCACAGATCGCAGCCCCCCTAGGGATGGCGAGGTCTCATTTGAGTCCGCCGTGGGTACCCACTGTGCTGGGCCCCCCCAGCAGCCTTCGAACGTGGCGACAGTTTCACAGATCGCAGCCCCCCAGGGATGGCGAGGTCCCATTTGAATCTGCGGTGGGTACCAACTGTGCTGGGCCCCCCAGCAGGCCGCGAAAGTGGCGACAGTTTTACAGATCGCAGCCCCCCAGGGATGGCGAGGTCACATTTGAGTCCGCCGTGGGTACCCACTGTGCTGGGCCCCCCCCAGCAGGCCTCGAAAGTGGCGACAGTTTCACAGATCGCAGCCCCCCAGGGATGGCGAGGTCCCATTCGATTCCGCCGTGGGTACGCATTGTGCTGGGTCCTTCAGCAGCCCTCGAAAGTGGCGGCAGTTTCACTGATCGCAGCCCCCCAGGGATGGCGGGGTATAATTTAAATCTGCGGTGGGTGCCCACTGTGTTGGGCCCCCCCAGCAGCCCTCGAAAGTGGCGACACTTTCACAGATCGCGGGCCCCCCAGGGATGGCGAGGTCTAGTTTGAATCTGCGGTGGGTACCCACTGTGCTGGGCCCCCCCAGCACCGCGAAAGTGGCGACAGTTTCACAGATCGCAGCCCCCCAGGGATGGCGAGGTCTCATTTGAATCCGCCGTGGGTGCCCACTGTGCTGGGCCCCCCAGCACGCCTCGAATGTGGCGACAGTTTCACAGATCGCAGCCCCCCAGGGATGGCGAGGTCCCATTCGATTCCGCCGTGGGTACCCATTGTGTTGGGCCCCGCAAGCAGGCCTCGAAAGTGGCGACAGTTTCACAGATCGCAGCCCCCCAGGGATGGCGAGGTCCCATTTGAATCCGCCGTGGGTACCCACTGTGCTGGGCCCCCCAGCAGGCCTCGAAAGTGGCGACAGTTTCACAGATCGCAGCCCCCCAGGGATGGCGAGGTCCCATTTGGTCCGCCGTGGGTGCCCACTGTGCTGGCCCCCCCCAGCAGGCCTCGAAAGTGGCGACAGTTTCACTGATCGCAGCCCCACAGGGATGGCGAGGTCCCATGTGAATCCGCCGTGTGTACCCAATGTGCTGGGCCCCCCGGCAGGCTTCGAAAGTGGCGACAGTTTCACAGATCGCAGCCCCCCAGGGATGGCGAGGTCTAATTTGAATCTGCGTGTGGGTACCCACTGTGCTGGGCCCCCCAAGCAGGCCTCGAAAGTGGCGACAGTTTCACAGATCGCAGCCCCCCAGGGATGGCGAGGTCTAATTTGAATCTGCAGTGGATACCCACTGTGCTGGGCCCCCCAGCAGGCTTCGAAAGTGGCGACAGTTTCACAGATCGCAGCCCCCCAGGGATGGCGAGGTCTAATTTGAGTCCGCCGTGGGTACCCACTGTGCTGGGCCCCCCAGCAGGCCTCGAAAGTGGCGACAGTTTCACAGATCGCAGCCCCCCAGGGATGGCGAGGTCCCAATTTGAATCCGCCGTGTGTACCCACTGTGCTGGGCCCCCCAGCAGGCCTCGAAAGTGGCGACAGTTTCACAGATCGCAGCCCCCCAGGGATGGCGAGGTGCAATTTCAATCCGCCGTGTGTACCCACTGTGCTGGGCCCCCCAGCAGGCCTCGAAAGTGGCGACAGTTTCACAGATCGCAGCCCCCCAGCTGGCACGCAGCGACGAGCGAGGCGAAAGGCAGGGGGGAAGAGAGGGACGGGATGGGGGTGGGAAGGAGACGCGCGAGCAGTGCTCTATTCAAAACGAGAACCCAGCGCAGGAGGGTTGGGAAAAAATATGCAGATGTGGGGAATATGTTTATTTGCGTGTATCTATTTGCGTGTCCTGGGGCCCCTTCAAAGGGGGCCGCGCCCGTGTCCACGGGGCGCCGCCGCCCCAGGGGGGGGGGGGGGGGGGGGGGGGGCACGACCCCCGGGGACCCCCCCCGGCCCCACAGGACTCCCCTCCCCGCCCCGCCAGGGAAGGGACAGTCGGGGCTGGACAGAACCCCCAACAGTGACACGTCGATTAGTGAATTGTCCGTTTTCAGTTCTCGAGAGGGCGCCGTGGCCGTTATTTTCCAGGCTTGCGCCCGCCAGGTTTGGGCCTAAGGTCGTTTTCACTAAACCACGTTTTACTAAAGGGGGTTCTGTCCATCGCCGAGACAGCAAAGGGAAGGGGCCCCCCCGCCGAATCCACTGCGACGTTTGTTGATGTCCGTTTGGCCGGATCAAGAAGTCGGGGGGTTGTGGCCCAGGGGGCGGGAGGGGGGAGAGGCGGCAGCGACGGCGACGACTCCAACGGAGAACAGTTTCACACACGCCGACGGGGTCGGCGGATCTCGGTACCCATTTTCGGTCGCCCCGATGGGCGGCGGTCCTACCCGGGCCGAGAGACCGGGCGGCTCGATGCGTTCGATCCTTGCGGCCGTCCTTCAGTTTTAGCTTCGGTCGGCCGCTGTCGGGCCACGAGGCCATCAAGCACGCGTCCGGGACGAGATCCCCCCAGCGGGGAAGTACGGCGTGAGTTAGTGGGGCCGCGGGACGCACGTCGGAGCCTGGCCTTCGGTCAGCGGGCTGTTCCCGAGGCGCGGTTGTCAGGGCAGGCCGGTGGGCATCGCCCTGGCATGCACAAGCGGGGGCGAGAGGAGTCTCAGTGTCTGTCGGGAGGCGTGAGGCCGGGGGGGCCGTCCCGCCGCGCAGTGGGGCAGCCGCGAGCCACCAGGCGGCTTCGACGACGACAACGGCGACGGCGGGAAGAAGCAGCGAGGGCGGCGACGACGACGACGACGACGATGACGACGACGACGACGACGACGACGACGACGACGACGGCGACGAGCACCAGGACGACGACGACGACGACGACGACGACGACGACGACGACGACGACGACGACGGCGGCGACGACGACGACGACGACGACGAAGAAGACAACTACGGGTTGGTGGACTGCGCGGAGGCGGTCTCTCGGGTGGACGTGCAAGTGGTGGGGAAGTCTCAGGTGCAACGCCCGGCCCGCCTTTTCGACCGCCTCGGGGTGCGACAGGGATGACTTATTCATAATAGGGGAGGTGGCGGGTGAGCGGGAGGATGAGCAGGGGTGAAGGGGGGAAGAACCGCGTCGACCTCCAGACACTGCGTTTACTACACAGTTGACAAACAGCCCTGCCCTGGTCGATTCCTTCCTGATATGTGAATTGGGTTCATTCAACAATCTTGGGCGTTTACTAGACAGCCCTGCCCTGTTCGATCCCTTCCTTCGATCCTTCCTTATGTGAGTTTGCTAAGGGCTTCGGGCGTCGGGGTACTTGTTGTGCTGGTGCGTCTCGTGAATTTGCTAGAAGGAGTTTCGCGCGCCGGGGTGCTCATCCTGTGAGTGCTTCTCCTGCAATGTTTGGGGGCCCTCTGAAGGGGGAAGGATGAGGAGGAGGAGGAGGAGGAGGAGGAGGAGGAGGAGGAGGAGGAGGAGAGGAGGAGGAGGGAGGGAGGGAGGGAGGGAGGGAGGAGGAAGGAGGTGGACCTGCACGCAGCCAGTCAAGCCGCATCATCAGGACGAGCAACCTCACACGAGGTGCCCTTACTTCCTTGCCTCTGCGGCCGTGCCTTGGCCGTGGGCGTCCAGTGCCCTTGCGCCCTTGCCGCGCGTCCTTATGACCAGGGTTGACTGCGAGTGTTCGATTCTTGGGATCGTGGGCGGCCAAGAGGGGGGTGATGATAAGGGGAGGGGGGGCTGGATATCACCATGGCGGGGGACATCATACGTCACCAGATTACATGGCGCCTCGTCTTATTTCAATGCGTCCCCGGCCCCCTCCTGGGCCGCGCACATGTCGCCGGCCATGATTTGCGCCCCCCTCTTTGACCCCTCAGTCTTGGCCGCCCCTGATTGATTGTAAGTGGTCGTTTCCCAGGTGGATGGGTCGATCGGGCGGGGCTGGGACAGGGATGGGCACGTTCCAGAGCGTTCCGGAACGCTCTCAGAGTGCTGCGGAACGCTTTCAGAAGGCCGCGGCGCCCGATGCAGCCTCCAGAACCGCCAGATCTTTTAGACCCCCGAGAATGTCCCATTTTGTCCCTGTCCTGGCTCAGTCTAAGGGAGTGCTCGATTCCTGGGAGGGGGGGGGACTCCTCCCCCCAAGAATCGAGCACTCACGCGGCGAGCCGCGTGGTCCGCTGGAGCCGCGTGGCGCTGCGGCCAAGAAGTCGACGAGCTGGACATCACGGAGCCGTGTGGCGCTGCGACCAAAACGTCGAGCCGGACGGCACGGAGCGAGGGCTGCTCCTCCTCCTCCTCCTCCTCCTCCTCCTCCTCCTCCCCCTCCTCCTCCTCCCCCCCTCCTCCTCCTCCTTCTCCTCCTCCTTCTCCGCCCCCTTCTCCTCCTCCTCCCCCTCCTCCCCCTCCCTTCCCCCCCTCTCCCCCTCCTCCTCCCTTCCCCCCCTCTCCCCCTCCTCCCCCTCCTCCTCCCCCTCCTCCTCCCCCTCCTCCTCCTCCTCCTCCCTCCTCCCCCCCCTCCGCCTCCGCCGGCCGGGCCCGCCGGCCGGGCGTGGGCCCCGCAAGGCGTGCTGGGAGATGTACAAGCAGGGCAGCTGCGGCCGCGGGCCCGCCTGCGGCGGCCGCCTCCCTCCGCCCTTGCTCGTCGGAGGCTGGACAGACCTCCTCCTCCTCCTCCTCCTCCCTCCTCCTCCTCTCCTCCTCCTCCTCCTCCCCCTCCTCCTCCTCCTCCTCCTCCTCCTCCTCCTCTTCCTCCTCCCCGCCCAATGTCGCAGGTGGACAGACCTCCTACCCCTACCTCAAACGACGCGAAGATCGGGACAAAATCGGATCGGGATGACTCGAAATCTCTGAGAATCGGCGGGTTTGGAGGATGTATTGGGCGCCGCGGCCGCTCCAGAGCGTGCCGGAACGCTCTGAGGGCGCTCTGGAACGCTCTGGAGCGATTTATCCCGATCCTAGCCCTGTTTTACTACCCCCCACGATTTCTGAGGGGGAGGGCGGGGTTCACCTCATTCGGGAGCTCCCGAGCGAAGTGAACCCCACCCTCCCCCTCAGAAATCGTGGGGGGTAGGGGTAGGCTTCGCATGTGGCCCCCTACTCCCTCCGCCCTTCTTCGCTGCACGAGCGAAGTGCGTACGGGAAAGAGCGGGTACAATGCCCAGCAGCAGTTCCTGTTCATGTTCAGCAGGACTCGCTGGTCCGCGCCGCCACGGCCAGTGTCCATTTGAGACAGAGGGCCGCCTGCCCAACAGCGCCCGCTGTGTGTTTGGGGCAGCATTTGTTGTTGGGCACTGTACCCATTGTTTCCGTACCCATTTCGGGCGTCCAAGTATTCGGAAATTGGAACCTATACATTACCAGTGGCGGGCTGCTTTTCAATCCCAGGACTTCTTGAGGGTCGAGGACGACGCTGGAGTGGTGTGGTGTATTTTTTTTCACCGGAGTCCCGGGAAAACAACGACAAAAATATACACCAGGGTCCCGTATACACCAGGATCCGCTCTCCAGTGCAAATTCCAATGCAGGACCGGAAGAAGCGTCGGTGTATAGAGTTGGATTCCCTACTTATCCTCCTCGGGCATCCAGCGTGCCTCGGGGGCGGCAAGGAGGGGGGCGCTTCGCACTCGGGCGAGTGTCGAGCAGTGTCGAAGCGTCCCGGCTCGCCTATATAGACCCACCAGATAATGTTCGCATAACCTTCTGTGGTGTGCCCGAAATGTTCTCAGAGCATTTCTGGCTGAGACTGTGTCGTTTTCACACATCGGACTCATGCTTTAAGAACATTGTGCTTGTTTTTAGAACATTTGGGGGTTCTACGAACATGTCGTGGTAGGCCTATAGGAATACCGGGATGGTCGGTCCCCGCTCAAGAATGGGTCCGCTGCGCAGGGGGTCTCAAAATGTATACCATCGTTCCTGCAACCGTTCTTGCGGGGCACGCACGCCGTACACCATCAGCACGTGGCTGCCACGCGCCATGCGCCACGGGATGAACCATTGTATTTCTCGCTTGCGACCCTATTACGGAAGACCCACTTTGCCCAGAACCACGTGATGCCTGGGGGGGCGGTGGATACCATAGCGGGGGCCATGAGGTTTCCCCAGATTTCATGGCGCCTCCTCTTGTTTCGATGCGTGCCCGACCCCCCCCCTGGGCCGCGCACGTGCCGCTGGCCATGAGTTGCGCCCCCCCTCTCCTGGACGCCCCCCTCATGGACGCCCCCGAGTGTTGACGAACGGTCAGGATGATCATTGGACTCGTCGCCGTCGGCCTCTGGGTGGCCTTCGCGTGGGCCCCGGGATGACTCGGGACGAAAAGCTGGCCTCGGGGAAAGCGTCGATACTTCTGGGGACCCCGTGCAGAACAAAGCAAAACGCTGGATGTCTGGGCTCTCAGCTCGGAGGAGGGCCCGTCGAGGCAGCGGCGGTTTCTGCAGCGTTCTTGTTTCGCCGTTTTCTTGGCCTCCGGGAGAGGCTTCTCGCCGCCACGGCTTGATATCCGCGTCGGAAAACAGACCAGGATGGATCCCGCAAGGGGTCCAGGGACAGATTTTGAGCGGACTTCCTCGTCCTCGTCCTCCCCCTCTGGTGGCGGCGTCAAGCGTGACCTCGACCCCGCTTTCGAGGAGTCAAAGGTACTGTTCGAGCTGGTCAAAGGGGGCAACCCTGACGACAGCAACGATGACCTCATGCAGAAGTTCCATGACAAGCTACTGGCCATGCATCGTGATAAACGGCAGCGCCTTTGATCTGCCTGTATTAGTCAGTAGCTTACCTGTTCATCACGGCCAAGTTCGGCCACCACCGAATGCTGACCCCCGTAGCTAGTTCTTCGTGGAATCCTTCAACGCTAACCGTGGCATCCGCACACTGAAGGAAAATATACAGGCTTCGTCAGCGACAAGTTTCGTCGCACAGGAAGTCGGATTCCACGATGATGACAATGATGATTTTGTTGCCTGGGCAGGTCGTCGTGGGTGGAAGTGCCTCACCAGCCCTGGCGCCAAGTCCAGGGGAACAACGCCCACGCAGGGAGTAGCTATTCTGGCTAGGGATCACGATGGACTTCGGGGACCAGGTTGCGCCCACGCTGTACTTCACCAGCGACGCGCATTGCATGCAGTTGTGCACCTTCCTGGCTGGCCGCCGCTGCACATTGTCTGCTTCTACCTGGTGGTCAACCAGGGCAGCAAGGGCAGGAATGCGCGCATCCTGGCTCAGATCGGCACGCGGGTATCTGAGATTGCCGACCCCGTCGTCCTGGCTGGCGACTGGAATGCTACCCCGAGGGACATCGAGGGGTCAGGTTTCCCGAGAGAAGCCAATATGGTACTCGTGGCCCCGTCCCTGCCCACTTGCATCGCACCCAAGTCGAGCCGTACGGTTGATTTTCTTGCTGTCAACACTGTTGCCAAGAGGTTGCTTGAGTCCGTCCATGTGGACACTTCCTGGCCGAAGCGACCTCACCGTCCCATATCACTGGGTCTTTCCACGGAAGGCCTAAGGCAGCAGTACATGGTATACACGGTGGCAAAGAAGTATGGGACTGAACGTTTCATCGGACCCACACGAGAAGGCCCAGACTGGCATCACCCCTCTGTGATGGCTGAGGCGGCCGTCGATGCTAGTCGCCAGAAGCCTGTCCGTGAAGCATGGTGCATTTTGTCTCGAGCGTGGGCTACCTTCGCCCATGCCGCCGAGAAGGAGATTAGTGCAGTCACTGGCTTGAGTGCGTCCAGCAGCGCTTCGTGGGGAGCGCCACCCAAAGCCAGATGGGTTAATTACAATCACCGCCCCGAGACAGGTGCTGAAGCGAAGGCGATCTCTCGCGGCTGGACATGGTTATCGCAGTCCCTGGACAACCTGTGCAAGCTCATGAGGCTCAAGCACACCACAGTACCTTGTTTGGAAGCCGAGGTGGATCTGTTTTCGGCCGCTGAGTACTTCGGGCAGGGTCTATGCGCACGCCTTGATGCCAGTGTCCTCGAGGCGCGTGTCGCAGTAGGCAATGCCTTACTTCGTGCAGCTGGAGCCCAAGGCCCGCTACCAGCACCGTCCACAGCACATCTACGCTCAGAAGCGGCCCCTGCGGCTGCTGTTGAGGTTGGCCTTTCAGGACAGGAAGGCCTGCAGTTTGACGAGCCCGACACTGACCAGGACGATTTCTTTGGCATCAATGTGCAGCTCGGGGGCCAGTCTGGAACTGTCACTCAGGACGATGATTTCGAGACTTGTGTCGCCCCTCGGCTCCATCGTGACAGCCACCGAGCTGCTGGAATTCTTGAGCAGTACCGTCGAGACATTGCAGCTGATGAAGTTAAAGATGATCGCCAAGCTGGATGAACTGTACCGTCGAGACATTGCCACCGAGCTGGATGAAGTTAAAGATGATCGCCAACGGTGGCAGGACTGGTGCGACGCGGCATCGTCCAAGGTTCGCGAGGACTACACCGCACTACCCGAGTACCCAATGCGCCTCACCCTACGGTAGTTCGTATCGCAGGAGGGCCCTCGGCACATCCCCATGATATCGTCGAGGCTGAGGTTCGTAAGTATGTGAAGCTGTGGCATGCTAGCCAGTTTCCGAGCCAAGCCTGGACGCCCGACAGGACGGCAATGGACAGGGCCAGTGCGGACGTCATTCGTGACGTGTCTAACAGCTTTCCGCACACCACTACAGCCAGTATTGATCGAGTGCATCCTCGTCACCTTGGGCTACTTCCTCGCGCTGCGCTCGACGCCATGGCAGCGCTCGTTGAGGCATGCGAACGGATTGGTCTTTTGCCTCGCCAGTTATGTTTCATTGTCATGCCCATGCTAGCTAAGCCTGGCCAGGGCCACCGTCTGATTATAATGTACTCTGGCATTTACCGTGTCTGGCAGAGACTTCGGCGCCGTGACCTCGATGGCCTTCACCAGCAGCTGCGCCGCCCGTACTGGGGCGCCCTGGCAGGCCGCAGTGCATTCGATCTGTCTTGGTTACAGGCTGCGCGCAGTGAGGCTGAGGCCAGCCAGAACAATTACAGCCTGCTCATCCTGATGGACTACAGCAAGTTCTACGAGGGCATCCCGCTGGAGGTTTTACGTTGTCGCCTCCTTGCCTGCGGCATGCCCATGCCGATTCCCAAGTTGATTTTCAACACGTGGCAGTCACCACGCATCATTCGCCTTGGCCTGCACCACAGCAGCGCAGTTTTGTTCGCCACGTTCGGGCTACCAGCAGGCCGTGCGTTCGCTGATGTTGCGGTTCGAGCCTTCACGATCACAGAGTACGACCAGTTTGTGTGCCGCAACCCGTCGATCGATGTCATGGGCTACATCGACGACACTGGGGTCCACGTGAGCGGCCGTGACCGGGACATCGTCGCAGGGGTTGCGATCCAAGCGGGCGTGCAGTTTCAAGCCGTTTCCCGACGACTTCAGGCCACTCTCAATGATACGGTTGCCGTCGTGGCCAGCGGTTGCGCCCTTGGCATGGAGGTGACCACAAAGCTCGGCCTCGCCAGAGACAAGTCCAAGCCAGCGGTCACCTATCTTGGCACGGATTTCGCCTGCGGGCGGCGACGAGGACAAGCCCGCACCGCTGGCAAGAGGAAGATGCGTCTGCGGAAGTCTTCCCAGCGCCTGGCCAAGGCTGCCAAGCTCAAGTCTATGAGGAAAGCCGATGCGAGGCTTGGACGAGTTTGTACACCACTGGAATCAAGATGGCAGCTCACTATGGGGTCGAGGTCAATGGCGTTGACGACCAGGAGCTGCTCGCCATCCGTCGCCAGGCCATGTCCTACTTGGCGCCTGCGACGAGGGGCGCGAGCCTGGCATTGCACGGCGAGCCCGCGGTGCGCGAGGCCATGGCACCCGCGCTCCAGTGGTCCAAGATGATTTGGCATGCTGTGGCTTTTTCCGTATGATGCACTTGTAGGCCTAACTGAATTAGTGCGTATGTGGGACCGCGTTTTTTTCACAGGATCTGTCGGATCTTTCCTGGGCTCAAACCCGCGGCCCGATCTCCAGGATCCCGCTTTGCCTTGCTCGCGTAAGGTGGAGGCCTGTTTCAGCCACCGAGTGGGTCAACCAGGATTGCATCACCATCCAGCTCACGCAATGTTCTCCTGCGATGCTAGGAAAAATGTTTAGCACCGCGCTCCAGGCAGCCCATGAGAAGTCGCTTGGGGGGAAGTGGGGGTTTGCTGAAGGTGTTAGGGCCAACCTGGACGTGGTTAGATTTTGCCTCAGGTCCAAGACGAAGTATAACAAGTACCAGAAATATTTAGTTCAAGCTGCCGTCTGCGACTGTTTGTGGACGGAACAGCTTGCACATGCCAATGGTTATGACACCCTCCGAGCTGGCCGATGTGAATGCGGTGAACCTGACACCACCCACCATCGGCTCTTTTGCTGTTAGCTCCCAGCTGTTGCCCAGGCCCGCGAGGAGGCAGAAGTTCCTTCGACTTTCCTGGACGAAGCTCGGGAGGACCCTGGAAGCCTTCTCCATTTGAAAGGTGTCGTCTCGGTGCTCCCAGGGGACATCCCTCCTGTCAAAGGGGCCCCCGAGGCCATGGTCCTGGACGGTTTAGGTGAGGTTTTTCCCGAACTGGAGCCCGAGAATTCTGTGCAATTCGTCGGCCATAGCGATAACCTACACATCGCGGTGGACGGAAGCAGTACAATGCCGATTTTGTCATGTTTTCAGCGTGCTGCGTACGCGGTCGTTCTGTTTGACCCCCAGGCCGAGGCCACCCTTTCGGTAGTGCGTGGCGCTGCGCCTGGAGGTTTTCCGCAGTCCCCAGCGATGGCTGAACATTTCTCGATTGTTGTTGCTTGCCAGGTCGCAGATCGCAGCTCCTACATGCATGCCGACTGTAAAGCAGCAGTAAGTCAGGCCCTCCTTCCCGAGCACGAACAGCTTCGTGCGAGTAAGGTCTTCGCTGGTGTCCCGCCCCCTCAGCGGGCACGGCCACATTAGGTCCATCCAGCATGTGAAAGCGCATCGAAGCGAGGGCGTGATGGATAACTTGCCGCTCGTGGAGCGGGCGCCTGCGAAAGGTAACCGCGCTGCCGACCTCCACGCCAAGGAGGCTCTCAATATGCACGCTCCGATCGGACCCGAGGCAGCCAACCGCCTAGAGTCTGAAGTTGAGACCGCCAGGTATTTTGTCCAGCTTGCTGCTAGTGTGCTACCTGCCTTCCAGTCCAGAGCGAAGCGCGTCAGGCCCTTTGCCCGTCACCGTTCTGTCAGGTCCGCTCCTGGGTGGCATGAGTGGGAGTGTGGCCTGCTAGGTTTGCAGTGCAAGCATTGTCTGGCGGTCGCCCATGAGGGTACCCCCCAAGAGGCTCTGGGCTGCTCTGGGGCCCCCGAGTTCGTTCGTCAGGTCGTCCGCCGTTCCCTGGGGCACCTGGTCGTTGGTGTGGCCTCTCACGAGATCCACCCCAGAGCCCCAGAGCCATCGCAAGCCAAGCTGAATCGGCTCCAGCTTTTGTGTATTCGTTGCGGCTGCTGGGCCCAGAGGTGCTCCCGTAATCTTGATAAGAAGTGCCAACGACCCTCTAGGAAGGGTCGTGAGGTACTAAGCAAGTACTCGCGAGGCCTAGGCCCCAATAATCGTATCCGTCAATTGATTGATAGAGCTGCTGCGGTCACTGCAATGTCTGTGGCCCCCAAGCCGCGTTCTAGGACGCTCACTTGTACATCTGTTCCCTCGGCCCACTCGTGTGCCCCCACCGTCCCTGAGTACGAGCGACGGATGGCTGCCCTCGCAGAGCAAGTGCGAGCCAAGGAGGCCCTCCAGGCCGAGGAGTAGTTTCTGGGTTGTGGCACCCCGTCGCGGGCCCTGGTCAGAGTGTGGGGAGCTCTGTCCTCCAGGGTAACAAATCCCTCTCCGAGGGGTGCCACTCCCCCCCTCTTGTTTTAGTCTTGCGAGACTCTTCCCCTCGGGGCTGTCCTAACCTAACCTAACCACCTCCTCCTCCACCTCCTCCTCCTCCTCCTCCTCCCCCTTTTCCTTCTCTTCCTCCTCCTCCTCCTCCTCCTCCTCCTCCCCCTCCTCTTCTTTCTCGTCCGGGCTGGATGGGAGAACCGCCCTTGTCTCAGCTGGCCCCCCTCCGATCGACGCCACCGAGACGGGAGCACAATACAGTCGGACCGAGGTCGGTTTGGGGAAGGTGCCCTGATGTTCTTCGTGTTTTGTTGGACGTTTTTGAGTATCCTGGGGTGGATACCCTTGGATGCTCTGTGTGTTGGAGGGCGGAGGGTCTCATGTTCTTGGGGGATGTTATTCTGGCCTCCTGTGTTCGACTTTAAACGGATATTGTTTCCGCAGCTCGCGGGGTGTGCAGGAGAGCGGCAGCGGTGGGCGCTTTTGGCACACGAGTCTGAGTTCCGCCCAGGCAGGAAACAAGCAGTTAGCTAATTAGCTCTAGTTTCTCGAGTGCGCACATTGTATTCATTTTCTTATTCACTGTTTTGCCGATCGGCGCGGGCCCTCGTACCCCTCCCCCCCGTGGAGTAGATCTTGGCTGTTTTGGGCGCGTGTTTCAGGCAGGTGGAATCTCCTCCACAGGACGCACTGTACCACACAGTCGCGCAGAGGTCTGGAGCCAGACCCCCCCCCTCCTCCCCCTCCCTTCCGCCCAATGTCGAAACGCCGAAGAAGAAAACGTTCACTAGTTCCTCGAGTGCGCATAATGCGGTACTGAGCACGTGGGGGGACTCGTAATTGTCATATCCCTGTGGCTAGAAACGGCTGGAACTTCTCAAAACCCTTCGGGGCTACAGGAGAGCGGCAGCGGCAAAGCTTGCAGAGACGCGCCACTCTGGCCGCTCACCAGCACCACCCCTGCTCGAGGCCGATCTCAAGAGTCCCCATCAGCTTCTTCAGGCACATCCCTAAGAATGTCCACCGCCTTCGGCCTCATCTGCACATGCCTGCACTGTGTGTGCGTCTCCCGCCCGGGGGCGACGCGCGCACTCCCGACGCCTTCTCAGAGAGAGAGTGCTCGGCGGCGGGAGCCGCCTGGTCGTTCCGCTCGTGCGTGGCGCTCCGGCGCACGAGGCCTGTACACGGCATGCTCGCTTCGGGCGTGCGCCTCCCGGGGTGGCGCACAGTCTTGGCATCGCTCGGACGTGTGCATTTTTCCCTCGGCGAGGGCCATCGAGGAGCATCCTTGATCATCGGGCGAAGAAGCCACGCACGAAACCGAAGAGAAACACAGGGGATGGACGTCCGAGCGATGGCCAGCAGTACCACGCAGCATGTCCTGCTGCACCCCGTCGGGGGTGGCGCTGGAGAGTACAGCCAAGACGCTGAAAGAAGGACCGCTTTGGGCTCGGAAGGGGCTCGGCCGCCAAAAAACCCACGCGGTGGACGACCTGGGGGAGCAGCGGCAGAAGGAGGCACAGGACGGAACGACACCTGGGGCCCAGGACGAGCCTGGAGCTGGGGGAGGGCGGAGGATGATGATGCTGGAAGACGTTGCTCTCCATTGCGTATTTGAAACAGGCATTGCAGTCTTTGCTCTCTTGGAACACTCTTGGGCGCTCCCGGGGCCGTACTGGGCCTCACGGGGGCTCCTTTGGGCAATCCTGGAGCCATTGTGGGGCTTCGACAGCCCATCAGAAGCGCGAGCGCGCGAGAGGACGAAGAGCTATGGTGTTCCTGCGGTTCAAGCTTTCTGCCTCTCTCGAGGGTCCTTGGGAGGTTCCGCGCGACGCTGAAGAGTTGAATCCCAGGTGGTTTCGATGGGTTTAACCCTTCCGACGGGGATTCAGCCCTCGCGATCTCGCGCTTCCCCCTCCGGAGGGAGGACAGGCCCGAAACGGTGTGGTAACCGCACCGCGTGATGAGTCAGTGGGAACTCGAGGTGGTCGCACGGTTTTGGGGCTCGGGTCGTCTCTTCGCGGATGCCTCGCGTGAGTGGAGTTTCCATGGTTCCATAACCGTGCCGTGAGGTCTTTCGACATGTCGAGGTCACCACACGGTCTGTCACCGCAGCTTCTCGAGACCCACAGGGAAAAATAATAGAAGGGGGAGGGAGAGGAGGAGGAGGAGGAGGAGGAGGAGGAGGAGGAGGAGTAAAAGAAGGAGGATGACGTGGATAGGGAGGAGGAGGAAGAGGAGGCCGAGGACGAGGTCGGGGGGAGGAGGAGGAGGAGGAGGAGGAGGAGGAGGAGGAGGAGGAGGAGGAGGAGGAGGATGCAGAGGCGGAGGCGGAGGAGGACGGTGCCGACCGATCCCCCTCCCCCGACCGCGCCCAGCGCAGCGTGCCGGTGGCAGCACCCGACGGTGGGGTTCCCCGTCAACGTGCTCCGCGGGGGGGGGGGGTCTTCGCCCTCCCGTGTCGCGCTCCTCGTCGTCAGCGTCGTCGTCGTCGTCGTCGTCGTCGTCGTAGTCGTCGTCGTCGTCGTCGTCGCCGTCGTCGCCGCCGTCGTCGTCGTCGTCGTCATCGTCGTCGTCGCCGTCGTCGCCGTCGTCGCCGTCGCCGTCGTCGTCGTCGTCGTCGTCGGCGTCCTCGGCGTCGTCGGCGTCGTCGTCGTCGGCAGCGGCGTCTTCTCCCCTGGTTCTGCTCTGCATCCTCCCCCCATGGCGTTCCTCACTCGCTCCCTCGCCTTCTCTTCTGTAGCCCCCCGTTCCGCCTTCTGCCCCGCCTGTCCTGCGTAAGTGCGCTCGTGCTCTGCCTCCTCGCTTCGCCCCCTCGTCGAGCTTCCTCTTCCTCCTCGTCCCTATCCTTCTAATTCCACGCCAGTCGCTGAAAATATGTATTTCTGGATTCCCGGATGCCAATCCACTTCAAGCGCCTTCCTTTTTTGAGTAGGGCTGAGGGTCAGAAAGCGCCTTCCTCTGCAGGACCACAAAAAGAGACGCCAAGGTGGTCAAACGCCTCGCGGGTTAAGACGACGAACATGTGCAAAAATCCAACCATTCGCTTATGTCGAAAGTTTTGGCTTGAGGCCGGGTGGGGTGCATCAAACTCAGCTTGACCGAACAGGTAGGTTACGCCCCTTGACGTCCGTTTGGGGTGTGCTGCAGACCTGACCCCCCATACGTACTCAATGCCTACTTCAAGAATCGCCATATCTTTGCTGCATGTTGTAATTATATATGGGAGGGCCTGACCCCAGCTACTTTATCCGCCTTCCTACTTAACGATTTTATGTATTTCTTCCCAACGTCATGTAGACCGCCAATGACAACTACACCAACGACAGCAACTCCGACAACGACGACGCTTCCAATGAGAGCGACAGCAGCAACAACAACAACAGTGGTAGCATCATTGACGGCAGCGCCAAATCACGACGATTCGAACGTCGACAGCACTAGCGGCAGCACCATAGATGATAGCACCAACGGCAGCACCAACAATGGTTTGGCGCCCTGGGAGGTCTTCAAACGAAGGGCCACTCGCACTGCCAACACCCGTGCCAAACGTGCGAGGATCAACGACTGGATTTTGGTAATTTTCTAAACAAAGTGGAGATGCTACCCACTTATCTGCAGACCGACGGGCGCGGCGCGCCACCTCTTGGAAACTGCCACTGCACGACCAGGCGTCAGAGACCGACCCAACGCAATCGTGGTGGTCAATGAAAGGCGATGGGCCCGCGAAGCCGCGAAGCTTTTGGAAGCAGCGGCAGTGCTAGCCACGACGCAGGACAACTCGACGGCACCGGCTGCCAATGGTGGCTGGCACCTGCGTGCGATAGTTGCAAGGCGGAAGGGGTGTCGAGGGAGCGATTATATTCCGCACGCGACGGCACGAACTGAGGGCCCGGGCCCCCCGCGCAGGCCCCGAACAGGCCCCCGGGGGCCCCGCTCCAGGCGGCACGGCGCGTTCGCCCCGCCTCGCCTCGCCTCCTCGCCTCTTTTTCCTCCTCGTCCTCCTCCCCTCCAGAGTTCTACGACCCCCATCCTCTCCCCCCCATCCGCCCTCCGTCCGCGGCCGTCGCTCGGCAGCCAGTTGTGCGGCCCCCGCGCTTTTCCCCCCGTCCGTCCTCCGTCCGCGGCTGCCGCTCGGCATCTTTCTCTGCTTCCTCATCCTCCTCCCTCCTTCCCTGCCTCGCGGTCGAAGTTGGTGTCGCGAGTTGTCGGACATCTGCACAGTTTCATCGACACTCATTGGAGATATGAGGGCGGTTTTCTCCCTTCGCGCGCTGAGAAGACCCGCCGACGTGCGCTGGCCAGGACAGCCCCGAAGCAGCTCCTCTCCCTTCTGCTTTGCCGTCCTCCCCCTTCCCCCCCCCTCTCTCTCTCTTCCTGGCCCTTGTCGTCGTCGTGTGCCTCTGCGGCCGAGAGCAAGACCACAAGGACGGCCACGACCGCGACGACGAGGACGGCCACGACCGCGCCGATGACGACCACGACGACGACGACGACGGCGGCGGCGATTGCCACCACCTCGGCGACCACGACGACCCACGGCGCCGGCAGCGACGACCACTACCACGACGACGGCGGCCGCGACGACCGTCCCCGACGACCGCCGTCGACGGCTGCGAGCGGCGAGCGGCGGCCGCGGCCGCGGCCCGTGCGCCCGCCCCGTGCCGCTGGGCTCGGCTGCCCCCCTCCGCGCGCGGGGCCTGGGAGCGGGCCGCCCTCGATGCCGGGCCGAGCAGGGCAGACGGCACCGAGCCTCCTGGTTCGTGTTTTGTTCCTCCTACAGTCTCAGAGCCCCGAATCATCAGGGGTAACTCTGGTCAGGGATAACTCGGGTTCGTTTTTCGGGAATCCAAGCCCGAGTTACCCCGGACCCGAGTTACCCCGGATATTTCGGGCGTCCAGAGCCCCGAATCATCAGGGATAACTCGGGTCAGGGATAACTCGGGTTCGTTTTTCGGGAACCCAAGCCCGAGTTACCCCGGACCCGAGTTACCCCGGATAACTCGGGCGTCCAACAGTCGGGGCCCTGACAAAGGAACCCTTTTCGTTGGGGAGGGGCTCCGCGTTCCTGGAGTGTTTTTCGCAGCTTGCCTCAGGTCTTCCTCATGTGTACCTTCTGTCTTCGATGGGAGATCGAAGTTTAACTTTATGGAAAAAAAAGGGGCCTCGTTCCTTATTTTGGGTTCCTTAGGTCATGGCCCCGACTGTACTTCTCCTCCTCCTCCTCCTCCTGCGGCCACGCGCAAAGGGGGGTAGGAGGGAGGGGGGAAGGCTTCTTCGGGAGCACCCCTGCTTCTCAGAGGGCGCGGGCCTCGTCTGTAGATGTAAGGTCCGCGCCTTCCAAGAAGCAGCCTCCTTCAACAAGCATTCTCCCGTCCCCCGAACCCCCTCTGCACGCCGCCACCTCCTTTTGGGGAGTATCAGCAGTGTAGGTAGTGGCAGAGCGTGCGTCTCAGAATCCTTGCGAGTGCTCGGCGGCGTTGCTTGCGTTGGTTGATTGAGAGATCAGTTGGATCCCCTGAGTCAGTCCAGTCCAGTCCTGGGGAGCAGCGGGATCGGTCGGTGCTTTTCGGTCTCCCCAGTGGCCCGTCCTTGCTCCGCGGGTGGCGCGGCGAGGTGCTCGTTGCCGTCGCGGGCGGCGCGGACGTCCCCGCGGCGTGACCCTTCGCCCAGGCGGGGTCCCCCCCTGGCAAGGGTTCCGCGGATCCGGGCCGCTCAGATGTCGGGGGCGTCCAAGGCCTTCCTCCTCCTCCTCCTCCTCCTCCTCCTCCTCCTCGTCCTCACCTCCTCCTCCTCCACCTACTTCTCCTCCCTTCTCCTGCCTCCTCCGTCCTCCTCCTTCCTCCGTCCTTCAACGCCGTCAATGCAGAGCCATGCCAAGACAACAACCACGACACCAGACGATGAAAGCACGCAACCGGGCAATCTGCAGAACGAGGACGTCTGATTGTGGTCCGATTTCATCCGCAGGGGTCCCCGGAGAGCAGAGACATCGATGCTTAACACATGACATACCCGATGTAGTCCACGCGCACCGAAAGACGGCTTACTTGGAGCCATCATCTCAACGAGCGGCAGGGACGACGGCAACCTGGAGGGCAACGGAAACGACGGTGGTTACCAGCGGCCGCGAACAATGAATGGTGGTCGTCACGTGAGTCCGCCTACGCATCACGAGTTTGAGGCCACGGCCTCCACGCCATGCCCTATAATGGGCACGGGCGAGCTCCGCAGAGCGGCACGCACGGCTCCGGCGTTCGCTTCGCCTCGCTTCCCTCCATCAAGGAAGGATGTGTCACGCAGATCGCACTTTCCGCGCCCATTCCTCCAGGAAGGGGCCGAATAAGTACACGACGCAGCAATGGCAGCACCCAGAATCGAGCGGAAGCCCACGACGAACCAGCCAAGGTGTGCCAGATCGTATTCCAAGGCCGCAGAGACTGGAGCGCACACGACAAAACCACTGGCCGTCATAGACACGCACACAGACGGTGTACCACCACCCAGCCCTTCTGCAGAAATGCCCTCGCGCACCCCCCGACCTCGCGCAGGAAGCTGAGTAAAGCACGTGCCGATCCAACCACCAGCCCGCGGACTGCCTCGCCGCCGAGGGGGGAAGAACACCTTGGCCAGTTGACGACCGCGCAGCAAGCCCCACGACCAGCCTGCAGGCGCAGGGTCAGGAGCTGCGGGCCCTGCGGCCGGAAAAGAGAACCCAGGCCACCACTGCGCCCGAAGCTGTGCATCGCCAATCCAGGGCCGCGCCACATCAAGGAGGAGGTGTGCAGACAGCTGCGAAAACAGCGGGATACCAGCGTAAGCTGACGCCAAACGTCGACATCTGCTCCCGGAAGGCGCCTCAGACCCTCGGGCATCCCTCGGGCATCAACAAGACACACAGCACCACACCAGACGACGACGACGGCCTTCCGTCCGCCTCCCCCCTCCACTTCCCTCCCTCCCTCCCTCACTCCCTCCTCCCTCCTCGCCCCTCCTCCCTCCCCCTCTCCCCTCCCTCCCCCTCTTCTCCTCCTCCTCTCCTCCTCGCGCCGCGCGGCAAAGCCTGCCCCGCGGACGGTGGTCCAGTGACCCTCGGCCGCCGCGGGGGGCCCCTGCCGGGCCCCCGATCGGGGGGCCATCCATCCAGCGCCTATGTCGGGGTGACCGGCGGGTCTCCCCGGGAGGGGGCCCAGGGTTCTGGGGGGGGCCACGCTGGTCCTGTGATGTGCACAACTAGTTCCGTGGAAGTTGTGGAAGTTGTGGAAGTTAGGTTGAAGTTGTGGAAGATAGCCTTTCATCTTTTTTCCCAACCAACCTGTGTTGTTGGGTCCTCGTTGTGAAGAGACATCGCCCCGCGTTCCTTCCTCCTCCCGCTTCTCCCTCCCTCCTCCCCCTCCTTGCCTTTGCTCTCGGCACACCTCTCACACGTTTCGTAGCCCCATAGGGGGCTCCACCAAAGGCCCCAGTGGGGGTGTTCGCATGCGGGTCCTCCACCCAGGGCAGCATTTCGTGGCCCCATAGGGGGCTCCACCGAAGGCCCCAGTGGGGGTGTTCGCATGCGGTTCCCCCTCCGAAGGACAGCGCTTCGTGGCCCCATAGGGAGCCCCACCAAAGGCCCCACTGGGGGTGTTCGCATGCGGGTCCCCCACCCTGGACAGCTTTTCGTAGCCCCAAAGGGAGCTCCACCGAAGGCCCCAGTGGGGGTGCTCGCATGCGGGTCCCCCACCCAGGGCAACGTTTCGTGGTCCCATAGGGGGCACCCAGGACAGCCCTTCGTGGCCCCATAGGGAGCTCCACCGAAGGCCCCACTGGGGGTGTTCGCATGCGGGTCCCCCACCCAGGGCAGCGTTTCGTGGCCCCATAGGGAGCTCCACCAAAGGCCCCACTGGGGGTGTTCGCATGCGGTTCCTTCACCCAGGGCAGCGCTTCGTGGCCCCATAGGGAGCTCCACCGAAGGCCCCACTGGGGGTGTTCGCATGCGGGTCCCCCACCCAGGGCAGCGTTTCGTGGCCCCATAGGGGGCTCCACCGAAGGCCTCAGTGGGTGTTCGCATGCGGGTCCCCCACCTTGGACAGCGTTTCGTGGCCCCAAAGGGAGCTCCACCGAAGGTCCCAGTGGGGGTGTTCGCCTGGGGTTCCTCCACCCAGGGCAGCGTTTCGTGATTTCATAGGGGGCTCCACCGAAGGCCCCAGCGGGGGTGTTCGCATGCGGGTCCTCCACCCAGGGCAGCGTTTCGTAGCCCCATGGGGAGCCCCGCCGAAGGCCCCAGTGGGGGTGTTCGCATGCGGGTCCCCCACCCAGGGCAGCGCTTCGTGGCCCCATAGGGAGCTCCGCCGATGGCCCCAGTGGAAGGGGGGTCGCATGCGGTTCCTTCACCC